ATTTGGAGATTGTTTGCAGTACATCCAGTTCATCGTCTTGGCAGGAAGTCTCAGCCTGAACTACCCTGGTTACTTCCAGCCCGTCGTCAGCCAGGCCAGTTGGTCGTTACTCCTGTTTAATCAGAGTTTCGTCAGTCAAGGCAACGGCTCCCAGAGTCTTGTTGACGGCATCTACTTTGCTAACGGAACCTACGGCCTGAACCGCCTGGGTCAGTACGTTGGGATGAGTAGAGAGCGTGATATATGGGCGTGCATGGCCATCTTCCTACTCGTTCTGATAGCCTGTGTGATTGTGCTTACCCAGCTCGGCTTCTTTATACGCTGGCTCTTCCGCTGGATTACCAACACGCAAGATGGTGATCTGACTGGGAAGAACTGGTCTTTCACCGCCGGCAACATCATCCGTGTCGTGTACAACTACTTCATGCTTCCGATTATAGCGCTGTCCCTGTTCCAACTCGTAGTCGGTCCACGCTCGCCGGCTTCCGTCGTCTCCTCAGCCGTCATCATGCTGATCATCGTCGCCGGATCAGTTACCTGGATATTCTGGTTTATCTTCACCACACGCCCTCGTGCTCATTTGTTTGACGACCTCCCTACTGTCTTGACCTATGGACCACTCTACAATACCTACTCGGATGATGCCGCTCCATTCTCTTTCATCCCTGTCCTGCTCACTATCATCCGTGGCATCGCTATCGGCGCTATTCAACCGTCTGGCATCGCGCAAATCATCATACTTGCTATATGCGAAGTTATTCTGATCCTTACTCTACATGCCTTCCGGCCGTTCCAGTCGAATACTTCGATGAATGCGTACCATACCTTCTTCGCCACAATCAGACTCATCTGCGTCCTTCTTTCGGTAGCTTTCGTACCTTCCCTCGACGTGGATGAAGCACCCAAAGGCTGGATCGGATACATCATCCTGTTACTACACGCTATCGTTTTGGTCTTCGGCTTCTTCCTGAACGCTCTTCAGACAATCATCGAAGTTTCTGCCCGACTTGGTGGCGTAGGTGCGGACCAGCGAGGTGGTCTTACCGCGGTCTTTGGAAAGCGACAACTGTCGAAACGTAACGTTCATCGAAACACTCGTGGTAGTCTGAACTCGAACGCTGCCATGTTGTCACACGATGAGAACAAGAACATACAGCTCATGAACAGTCGATCTCGAAGTATGTCTGCCAGTTCAGCCGTGCTGTTGAATGGGCCTTATGACCGAGACAGCCAACGGGCAAGTGTTGGATTTGACGGCTTCAGTCAGGGCGACTACGGAAATGTCAGTCCAACTCCAGGATCGGGTCCGGTGCCCTTCACTTTCTTAGGTGGTGGGTCTTCTGGCCAGAGCTCTCGCCGACCAACGATGGGCACCATGGAGGCCGCGGATCCATACTATCGACCTCCACGCCCTCGCAAGCATACGATGGATTCTCTAACCGCAGCTGCACCAGGCAAGGCGCCTCTGGGGAGTGCAGACATTGTGGACGCCCCCTACTCGGACAATCTGGACACTGAAGCTATCAAAGCCGGTGAAGGCCCGTCGCGTACTTCCGGCACACCTGCTCCAGCCTATCTGCGGTTGAATCGAGACGACTCGGACCCAAATCTTGATAGAAGGAACAACAACAATACCGACTATTCCGTGCGCGAGTCAGACTTTTACTATGGACTTCGTGGCCCTGCTTTGTCTTCTCAACCTACGCGAAAGCTGAAGACAGGGCCTGCGGATCCAATGAGTCCTGTCTCGTCGGCTACAGGTTGGTTCAAGAGCTTGAACCTATTGGGTGGGCGGAAGAAGGAAAAGAGCAAGGGATTTGAAGTGGTCAGAAGTACACGAATACCACCGCAGATGATGGCCGTGGAAGAAGACGCTGAGTCGCCAGCAGTCGTGCAGGAGCCATATCGGGACAGTCCTGAGTCACCTCTGCGAGCTCGGAACGCATCAGGAGGGTCAGGCGTAGCGACAGCGGCTGCCTTGGCTGGAGGGAGACGAGACTCTTCCGATAGCGACTCAGACACGAGTGACGAGGAACGAGATTACGATCCAGGCAATCGGATTTCGCCTATTGCACCGGCTCTGGGACCCATTGAGAGTTTTGGCGGAATCGAGCTGCCCAGTAGAATTGGGTCGCGTGCTTCCCGCGTTACGCAACCACCAGGACCTCCAAGTCGCGTGCCATCAATACCGCGCAAGAACTCACGTCGTACGAAGTCGACGGAAGCTGCTCTCATCCCAGACCGGCTGTCGACTGTTATGGACGTGCCGACGTCAGTAAGTCCGAGCAGCCAAAGACGAAGTCAGCACCTGCAACCGGGCGGACCTGGAGGCCTTCCCATTCGCTTACCCTTTGGATCGACCGAACCTTCACCAGAGCGCTCGCCTGGGCCATCAGCAGCATCGAGCATATACCGTAATGACGGTGTCAGTGAACTGAATGCGCCTCCAGCGATTGGTGGAACGTCGGAGCGTCCTCTCAGCACTGGTGTTGTCCAGCACCATGTGACGAAAGACAGCGTCCAACGTGACGTGTATGACGCGGGAAGTCATCTTGAGGCTTCAGCGGAGATTGTGGACCGCAGTCGCAGTGGCAGCACACAACACAGTGGGCGCAGCTACCACAGATGAAAAAGTCATTTCATTAATGTCTGTTTTCCCGTATACCATATTGGGATTGATAGATTCCCATTTTAATCTTGATCTTGGCGCAAAACGTGCGCTTACGAGTTTCCTTACTGTATAGTTGTGCAAAAGCGATTTTGATGGCGTTGGTTGGGATACACGAGCGATGGGCTCTTTTGGGCGTAGACGGGGCCACTACATACTTCTTGATACTTTCTATATACATAAGCGGAACGGAGTGCACAGGCACGAGTAGTAACGTACAATAGTAATTCCAGTCAATCCACGACTATTCATGGCAGAGGGACACTCCAAAGTTTTGGCACGTGAAGAGGGCCGACGAAGACGCGGCGACGCACCGTTGTTCTCTCGCAAGGCTAAGGCAGGCGTGGCGGCGCAGATGGTCGCGTGAAACCGCTAAGATAACGGCATAGTGGCGCCTGAGGCATTCCAACATTGGCCGGCCACGCTTAGAAGCCACGGCTCTCTGCTCACCAGTACGTGTCGCGTTGTGCGCTACTTGTCGCCTGACTCTTCTCTGATCTATCTTCTGGACTTTGCACCTTCACGAGCGGCGCATACAGCAGCGTGGTTGGAGTTCCCCTCGCCGAGCCGACGCGCAGGACCCACCCACCTCCGGCCTCTACACCGCAACCCAGCGCTGCGCGACTTACAGGCGGGTGAAAGATAGCTGCCCTGTGGCTCCAGGCTGACTGGAACGAGCAGCGCTATCCACGTTCCGAGTGCCAAAGCCCACACGCGACGCAGACGCCCAAGCAAGTGGCGGCATGTCGCCGTGAGCCGGCCGACCTTCTCTACGAAGAGCACCCCTCCCGTTCACCATCACATAAGCTGTTGCTCACTCGCGCGTGAATTTGACGCTGTTGGCCTCTGTTGGCTCGCTCCCTCCGCTTTCGGTCGCGTCGATCCGTCACAAGCTCTCCCAAATGCCTCCGAACGCCAATCAACGCCCGAGTGGACCCTATTCACACCACTCGCACGCATACGGCGGTCAATATGACGGAGCAAGCAGCACCATAGACGGGCCACGCGAGGCTGTTATGGGCAGCAACTCCCGACACCATTCACAGGGCGTTGTCGCATCACACTTCCTGGCCCAGGACCGCGAAACATGGATGGACTTCCTGAGAGACGGTACCGAATCCACTGCCAACCAGCAACCACCGACTGCACATAGCAACCCCGCTGCCGCCACCGAAGCTCGCTCGAACCCTTCCCCGTCACGATACACCCTCCCAAACCGCTCCTCGCAACGCACCGACTCGTCCTCCTCCCGCAGCTCAGACCGCAAGCGACGTCTCACAACCGCCGACTCGCCCATGAGGCGGCCGTCGAGCATACGCATGCACTCGGAAAGCGCGGGCGACTCGAGTGCGGATCCCATCATGTTGGACTCGTCGCCTGCCTCCATCCGCGCATTACCTCCCACCCCGCCCGTCACATCACAAGCGAACACAGGCACCATGAGGAGACAAAGTGATATTGTGCTGCCGCCATGGCAGCCGGACAACGAAGTGTCTCAGTGTCCGGTGTGCAAGAAGCCCTTTACATTCTTACTTAGGAGGCATCATTGCAGGTACGTACCGCCAGACCTATCGTCGCAGTCGTGTCAGCCATCGGACGTTTGAGGTCATGTGCCTCGTCTGCTTAGAAACCTACAAGTTGCGCCCGTCTGGACTGTTTACTGACAACAAGAACAGGAAATGCGGGAGGGTCGTGTGCGCTTCATGCTCGCCACATCGTATTACTATTCCACGCCAGTTCATCGTGCATCCGCCGTCCGAGAATATAGCAAACTTCGTCGATCTGACAGGAGAAGACGAGAGCGCCATGTCAACTTTCGGCCCGTTCCGCAACCCAGCGCTAGGCGGAGGCGAGGAAGTCCGCGTCTGCAATCCTTGTGTACCTGATCCAAACTTCAGCCCACCTCCACGATACGATTCACTCGGTCATGGCTCTCGGCCCATCCCACCCCGATCTTCACAGGTCCCACCTCCACCACCCCCACATCCTCGCGCACACAGATCGTCGTCCAGCGTACATGATGCTTCGCGCGGCGCAGGCCAGAGCCATGCATATGGCACACGCGACCCCACAAACGAGAGCAATCAAAGTAGGAGAGTGAGCTATCATGCGGGCTCGCATATGGGAGAGCGGCGGCTGCCACCTCTCCCGCCATCTGCTATCGAGCAGCAACACCCACATCACCGCGCACCTCTCATTTCCCAAACCGTAGCCAACAACCGGGCCCGCAACGCACAAAACCGTGTGAACTTCGGGTACGGATCTTTCTCGGGGACCAGTCCTTTCAGCCAAGCCATGTCAACCCCTGTACCGCCTCCACTTCAACCTCAAAATGCCCAGCCAACCCGGCCTCGCCGCCAAATCCCTGAGGAAGACGAATGTCCCATCTGTGGCGAGGAGCTTCCTCCCCAAGGCCCTGACAACGACGATTCGGACCGCACCCAGCACATTGAAGAATGTATCGCCCTACACTCCGCTTCTCCAGGCCCAACAGCTGCACTCACGCCGCAAACATCTGCCAGCCTACCCACTCAACGCACCCGCGGTATGAGCAGTGCAGGTAATGGTGAAGGCGCCAGTAACGCAAATCGAATGAGCCATGCTGCGCGTGGAATGTTTCCGTACGTCGCGACTGAGAAGGACTGTGTTGATGAAGAGGGCAGACAGGCCGAGTGCACGATTTGTCTGGAAGACTTTGAATCTGGGGACAAGATGGCTAGGTTGGTTTGCTGGTGCAAGTTCCATGAGGTTTGTCTTTCCTTTTCCCAGTACGATGGGCCCAAGGTGCTAACATGTGTCTTAGACTTGTATCAAGGAGTGGTGGGATAAGAAAGGCCGGGGTGCTTGCCCCACGCACCAGTTGCAGGAGTAGCTGTGTGGTTATATCGATGACATCGACTGTTGCATATCCCACCGGTAGATACACTTGGCGCACCGCAGACTCTTGGGATTAGGAGCTTTCCTTTATCGGCGTTTTTGGTATACCCCTATCCTTCTTTATCATCATAGGCATTATCCTTGGTTTCGAGTGTCTTTGCATTTATAGACTCACTCTTCGTTCCTGATATGGGAGTATAGAAGAATATGGCATAGCAGTATTACTACACTCAATACACCGAAAACAAGCCCCATGGTGGGAAGCAACCTGAGGCTTTGGTTACTACAGTGATGGTCGTTATAACCTCAATCTTGCTGTTTCCATGGAGTCATCCATTTCCCTGCGGTCGTGAAGATTCGATAATTGATGTTTCCTGCATCGAGCTTGTGAGGAATTGTCAAGAAGCATTACCAGGGACGTCACTTTTGGGTTCAAGTGCGATCACCAGAAGACGTCGGCGGCGTCTATTGCGACTTCCTGCAGGCACCGGACTAGGGTGATGGAAGTGGGTCTTAAGGCTAGTCCCACGAGGCTGGTAAGGCGAGTCGAGTAACGATCCTCGACCCACTCCCAACATCGCATCTCAGCGCGTCACGTCGCCTAGTCTCCAGCCTCCGAACTTCTTTTGTGGCAGCCACATCTCGCGACTTCATCTCGACACAACAACCATGTTGACGCAGCTTCCTTCATTCCGTACTCAAAACCGGCTAATGACGCGTAAGCAAGTCCCATGCTACCCGCGCGAAGGCGCCTCAGAACTCGGTCGTCCTTTGCTAGCTCTATGGGTGTGGAACTCAGCATCCAGCCCATTAAACAAATGTTTCCGCTTCTGGAGTGTTGCATCTTGAGAGTGATGGATCTGCCGTAGGTCGAGGCGAATTCGCATTCGCGCAGGCGTTGGCTACAAATGAGGAAGCGGTGAGTAGGGCAGCCGCTGATGTAGTAACAAGACTATTAGTCAAACCTAGAATTTAGCTCTCTTGTTGTATACCCCGAGGCCATCGTAGAGGCGACAAACATATTCGCCGACACTAGATGAATAGCGCCGTCGTCCCGTCTTCGGTCCGCTTCATCTAAGACCTCTGATCGCTTGTACCAAAGTCACATCGTTTTTCTTTCCCGCACCACATCCCTCTCGTTTTCTTCCCCAAGACCCTCTGCCACCATGGTACAATTACAGCGGCTAGGTTTATTGACTGTGGCGCCCGGTCTCCTTTCCTTGGCTACCGCCAATGAATACGATTACGACGTGCTCGTGGTCGGTGGAGGCTCCAGTGGCACTCACGCTGCCATCCGGCTGCAGCAGTCTGGAAAATCGGTTGCGCTCGTTGAGAAAGAGTGCCGGCTGGGTGGACACACCAACACCTACAAGGACACGGCGACTGGCGAGACTTTCGATTACGGCACCCAAGTCCTCGTCAATACCACCACCGTTCGACACTTGTTCGACTCCCTCAACATTCCCCTAGCTCCTTTCAAGCCTGGTGGCCAGCCCAAGGCAGTCGATTTCCGAAATTCGGTCGTCGGGCCCTCATGGCCCGTCGTCGACGCTAATGCCTCTGCTGTAGCTCTGGATAAGTACCAGGCTCTTCTCACGCAGTACCCAGACGATTTCTTCCGTGGATACCACCTCCCTGACCCCGTTCCGGAGGACCTGTTGATGCCTTGGGGTGACTTCCTGCGGAAATACGACCTGGGTGCGCTGGCGTATGATGGCTTCTTGCAATTCCAAGGCATGGGCAACATCCTAGCCCAGCCTACCCTCTACGTGATGAAGCTCTTCAATCCCATGCAAGTATCAGCACGCAAGAACAAGACCAAAGTTTCGCAAGCAAACCATAACCAGCAAGCGCTCTGGGACGCCGCAGAACAGAAACTCGGGATGAGCAGCAGCTCTGTTGTGAAGTGTGCCAACATCGACTCCATCACACGCAGCCCTTCATGCGTCACTCTGGTCGCCCAAACCCCATCAGGCACTCAGACCATCCGCGCAAAGAAACTTCTCATGACCATTCCTCCTAAGGTCGCCCTCCTCGACCAGTTCCTGGATTTGAACACGGAGGAAGCAGACCTTTTCTCTCGCTTCAACAGCAGCGGATATTGGAACGCAGTTGTGGCCAACACTGGCTTCCCACAGGGCGTCTCTATGTACAACTACGACGCAAAAGCCGCCTTCGGTATCCCCGGGCTGCCAGGCGCATACTATTTCACCGCCGAAATCGACAACCTCTATTCAGTGCAATACTCCACTCCCATGGAAGCCTCGGACGATTACTTCACCTCTGATGTTCTCGCCACGGTCCAGAGGATTCGCGATGCGCTTGATCTGCCCCCCGCCAACCAGTCTACGACGATCAAGGCTAGCAACAACCATTCGCCCTTCGCGTTGAGCGTCTCGGTCGATGAGATCAAGAACGGCTTTTACAAGCGTTTCGTGGCTCTGCAAGGCATGACGAATACGTTTTGGACGGGTGCGAATTGGGCTTCGGGGAGTTCGAGCACGATTTGGGATTTCACGGAGGTGGAGGTTTTGCCTGCTATTCTTAAGAGCTTGGAGTGAGCAAATGTGTTCGATAGTGTATGCGTTAATGCTGTAGTCTAGTATCTACGAACGCGTATATTATTTAGCTCGCGGGTTCGTCTTCAGAACACCGACTCTTCTGGTGCAGACCCAGCAGCGTTAATATCCCAACTGCCATAACCCACACGAATTGAAGTCATGGATCCATTAGTCCCGGTCCATGACCTTGGGCAAAGCTGGACTCGTCTCTTTTGTAGGCTATCCTTACCGTACAGATCAAAGAGGGACCATAGAGATATCCTGATTCTTGCCCGCCCTGGGCCGATCGCAGCAACGCTTCTACCAAGAGGTTGCGTATCTCTTGGCTCTATTGAACCCGCGGAGTACGCATTGGTTGGCGTGGGCGTTTTTGTAAGCGACTTGATATGCTCCTGCCCACAATAGGTCGCATCAGGTAGTAACCTCGTGTCTTTGGTCGCAAAAGCCCGAGAACAAATGTAGTTAAGAACGACGCATTCATTTCCCTCCCCAATATGTACCCAATCAGTCCCGTTTGTCTCAATCTCAATATACGACCCGTTCCTGATTCGGCCATCGCTGTTGGGCTGAAGGTTGTCAATCTCAGGCGCCAGGCTTTGCATAACAACGAGAGTAGAACAAGCGCAGAGAGTATGCTCATTGCTCTTCATGATGGAGTACACCAGTTCAAGACCCGAACAACCGTAATCGACTGTGATAGCATGTGTCTCAGAGCATAGCGCAAGTAGTGAGAAGATCCTATCTCTGGCAACGCTGCATCTCTTGTCACGGAATGTTAACAGAAGGCTTGCTAGAGGGTTTCCGACAATTTTTTGACTGCTAATGAGCGCGAAAACTCGACCGATTGCTTCATCTGTATTCCCAGGCAAGCCACGGAGCAATACCCGAAGCCTATGCATTGTGATCGTTAATGGCCCAATTGCAACGGCGATGCGGCGCGCAAGTTTGAGCTCTTGTGTGATCCATGCTCGGGTCCAATAGTCGTTGCCGAGTAGATCATTGTTTACTGCTCTTCTTGCCTCCCGCACGGGTGTTCTTTCCTTCCAAGTAGAAGGATGACTGTACCTCAGCTGTAGTTCTCCATGATAATGTAGAACTGTCTCTTTCGACGCAAGTCCCAGCCATGCAATGACCGTTTCGGCCCTGGAGTATATCCTCCCCATCTGCATGACTTGGTGATTCCGTTCGACTGTGTTCTCTTGATCAACACAAACAGCGTCTATCCAATATGTATGAGCTGTACGCTCAGGATCGGCTCTGGTGACCTTCAAGTATTCGAAGAGATTCGGTTGAACGAAGAAATGTTTTCCGTTCATCAGTACAAGTTGTTTCGGTTCAGGTTCGCCCCACGCGTACGATAAGCAACGATAGGGCGCATAGTCTATGGTCGTATGCGATATGGAACATTGGACGAGGCCTTCAGCTGACAGCGTTGGTGATATCTTTAGCAGCCTTATGGAAGGCTGCGAATGATCGAGTGATTCGTGTTCGAAGAAATCGGTGGGAGAAGGCTGTACTATACTCCGCAGCTGCGAGACTGGGTCATTCGCCAGGATACTTGACGGGGAAAATGAAGTTGAAGTCGCCATGGTAAATCGCTTGAGACTTGACTCTAGCCCGAGCACGAGGATTGCGAAGGAAAGGTCAAGGTCGATGAAGAGTATCGTTGCTTCCGGTACCATGTGGAAGCGCGGCTGAGTTTATGCGGGGTTATCAGCTGAGGCAGCCACGGTGGGCGCAGCATGCTCAGCCGCAACACCGAAATCTTGCTGAGAACAGCGACGTAATCGCATCACTGAGAACGTGTTTCCAATCCAGAGGAACTGGTATGCAAGCTACCATGCGCGAGGGGGTTCGAACGCAGCGCTGAGCTGCGCCTTTATATCCTGTCAGCATCCGGTCAAGAAAAGGAGCTGATCGCGCAAGTCCTCCTTCTCAGCCTGCTCTTTTGGCCCGCTACAAGTATTTGTCAGCTCTCATTGTATTATCTTCCGGCTATCAAGATGGATTTCTCCAAAGATCCTATCATAATGACTGACACATCGGCACAAAACGGACAACGTACCAGTCCTCCTCCCCGCTTTGAAGGAAAGCCTTATCTGCAATGTCTCGACACGCTCGAGGATGCATTCCCAGCGCTCAAGTCCTTCTTGGAAAAGCTAGCAAACGAGGGAGAAGCCGGCCGTCAGGCTGTCAGGCAACACTACGAGAAAGAGCATCAACGTACGCCGGGTCGATGCTATTGCTTGGAGTTCAAGGCCAAAAGCGTTGTGGAGGTGGAAAAAGGTGGCTTTAAGAGCGCTGCTGTGCTCCGGGAGTACCTCAAGGAGAAGCCAGCCAATAAGAGCCGTGAGGAGAGACACAAGCGGCTCTTCATTCTTGAAGATATGGAACCGGACTATGTGGATGCACTGGGCCATCATCTAGGCGTCGACCCTCTGGTCTTCAGCGAGCAGATGAATACCTGGAACGTTAGTAATATCCATGTACGAACTGTATGTGAGACAGACACTGACTTCGTACACTCATCTTTAGTTCACGGACTCCTGGTCCATCCCACATAGAGGATTGCCATCGATGTCAGTGCCCGGGCAGTCATTCACGCTGCGCTACTACGAATTGCGGACTTTGCTCTGTGCCAAGTCGGTAAATGTTCTGAAACTGCAGACGTCGTTCGCAGTGAATCGTCGGAGATACGAGAGGTGGCGGGATATTGACGTACCATCATCAGGCACCCCTGATCGAAGGCATGCTTTTGTGAGACGGTGCGCTTCGTTCTGGACATCACAGACTTCTCCTTCAGATGGAGAGGCGAACGATGAAGGTTGGGATGGTAAGGCTTCTGAGACGATGTTATCTGGTAGATCACTGCTGACGGCCACCCACTTTAGCTGTCATCCTAGTAGATCCCGCCTTTGCTACCGCATGCGAGCCGCCAAAGACGGAGTCGGCCAGCGGCGGACGGGCGACGGGTGTGGCTGCAAGCGAGTGCTTAAAAAATCACGAGGCTGAACTGGATCCAAGTGCACGCAAAGCTCTAGATGATTGCTTGATCCTGCAAGATCCCACAATCTTCCCCGACCGGTCGGAACTCTGGAAAGCACAAGACCACAATTCATCTCGACCCCCCAAACTCGAAGCGGTCTCTCATCAGAGCTGGCCGTACCACTACGGATGTTCTACATTAGCTCCCCTCATGTTCTCCGAAGTTGGTCTGGGTACAAAAGAGATGAATCTTCCAATGTTCCAACAAAAGCGAAATCTTACCAGTGCTATGGAAGAAATAGCATTCCACTGGACCAAGCTTGCCACTCCAGACTTGATCCAGCAGACGAACCTGAAGTCATCCAATGCTGCTTATTACCTCTTGAAACATGTTGCGCAACACTGGGTTAATCAACTTGAGCTCATGAATACCACCATTGCGAGGGCTGAATGGTTCGCAGATGACTACCAAGCCAAAATCGACGACAATTTGACCAAAAAGAAATGGAAGTCTGACCTACTGGAGATCAATGAGATTGCGAAGGACATCAATTACATGCGCCGACACTTGAATCACTTTTGGCGCGCTATGTATCTCAACCTAGAGCGTCTTGGTGTTCAACTAGGTGATGAAACTGTCACCAAAGAAGCGTCTCTAGCGATCAAGCATGCGCAGAAGGACTTCCTTACAATACACACAAGGATGCAGCCTTTGCGCGATCGCGCAGAAGCCTTGAACTCCGTCTCAAACGATCTCGCGAATCTTCGGGCGGCGTTCAGAGGCGTCTCAGACGGCGAGTTCGGCCTTCGTCTCAGCCTGTTCGCATCCATCGTCTTCCCGCTCACCCTGCTTGCTGGCATCTTCAGCATGGGGGACGACTTTCGCCCTGGTAGAAAACAGTTCTGGCAACTCTGGGCTATCGGCATACCCGTTTGCGTTGTGGTCGCACTCGGATTGGTGTACGGGAGAAGGCCTTGGGCAGTGGCCACCGATCTTTGGGAGTATGTAAGATCATGGTTCGAGCACTACGGGCTCATGAAGCCCAAGGAAAAGAACGCGGCGCAGAAACAGAAAATTGAAGGTACACAAATGAAAGAGAAGAGAACCCGCAAGCAAGGCGGACGAGCGAGTTTGGTGAGAAGGACAGGTTGGAACGTCCGGGACGAAGAACATGGCGTTGACGATTGAGTGTAGATTCATGATAATCCGAGGTGCAAGGCTAGAGTGGGGTCTGCCGAGGCAGCACGGGCTTGGCACCACCGGGGCCTCACCCCTGCATCACGGCAGCAATAGCTTCAAGCTGCGCCCTCTTCCACCTCTGCGAGATGGTCGTATGCGTATCATCCTCCACCCTCAAAACGACATTTCCATTGTCACCGCCCAGCCTCGCCGCAATCTGCATTCCATGATGGGCAGGTACGAAACAGTCATCCTTGCCATACCACAACTGCACCGGCAGATCCTTCCTGATGTCCTCGACCCGGAAACCCCAGTCACTACATATCGTTCGCCCATCCAACGCTATACCGTCGAAACCCTGCGCTCTCGCTTCACGAGTTGATCGTAATATCAGGCGGATGAGGTCCTCATCTGCCATGATCTCGCGATCCCTTGGATCCTTGATTGAGGCGAGCTTTGAGGGGTCTAGCACACGCTGTAAACGCTCCTCGTCGCTTAGATCCATACGCCCAAAAGCATCGCGGCTGAAGAACCATTTGATGAGAAAGACGGGCGCGTGCTTCCATCCGAACGGGAAGCCAAATTGGTGCTGGAGGTCTGCTCCCTTCATGCCAATGTCCATTGGTCCGACCCCACATACAACGGATACGCATTTGAGCTGCGGAGCTGGAAGTGCTGCTGCGCACGCAAGAGTATAGGGGCCTCCTCCAGATGCACCCAGAACAGAGTAGCTCTCGAGTTGCAGACGGTCGACGAGACATTGTAGGTCTCTTGGGCAATCCAACAATGTTCGTTGGGGATGCGGCGTGCTCAAGCCGATTCCAGGTCTATCGACCGCGATTATCCGTAAGCCTAGCTCCAGAGCGATATCCTGGTACGAAGCTGCTTCGATGCGAGACCCTGGAAGTCCGTGGTGATAAAAGATGGCATGGCCAGAAGGCGACCCGTACTGTGCGTAACCCAGCTTGCGCCCGTCGGGAAGCGTCAGTGTGTCTGAGGTATCATTTCCTAAGGGGTATCGACATTTGCGGGTATCTTCTCCGTGAGTGGTAGTTCCATGCTCTTCTATGCTCATAGCTGTGTATGATATGATGGGATATCCTGTGATGTACACTCGGCAAATAGGTGTGCCGTGGTATTCTATCTTACGGGCAAATCGGATTGGACGTGCGCACTCTAACTACCATCATTATCACGATAGAACATGGTTTTATAAACACTCTCTTTGATGAGGAGAAGCCCCATCGGCACTGTCGGACAGCCGACCAACAGCATCAGGTGTTGTGCTTACTCCGATCCTTTCCGCGTTCTTGCGACGATTAGGCACCAGCTCAGCCTTGCCAAAACGTTCAGGGTGAACGGCAATCCATCCATCACCTTTATGTCTCGATGAGCGGCATGCGCCCACAAACTTTTCGCGTCTGTGCTGTGACTGCTTTACAGCACGGGAATATCAGGGTGCTCTATCTTTCTTTTCTACCTAGGAATGCGACACAGTTTCTACGTACAGTCTTTGAAGCGCAGGGAAGTGGGGACCAAGTTACCCGTCGCTTGAGGACCGCTGTAACATCGAAGCGTATTCATGATGCTCAACACAGTCGTTCAAGGCATACCTCACAGTTTCGACAAAGAGTACTTCAACTTCATTGTAGGCGGTGTGCCTGGTTTTGGTTCTAGTTGCTGCGGATTAGGGTGGAAGGAAGCTACCCATTCAACGCAGCCTTGGGCCTACGCTATTACCGGCCATGCTATTCTGAGGTATTTGACGCATACTAGCGACATACGCGCCCGTGTACCAGATTCTGCACATGCATAATCGTGAAAAGGTCTTGGCTACACTAGCTAGATATCTGCACATACACTATGCAGTCATCAGGCCAGATCAGCACACAAACGCCGTGTTACTTTACCTCTCCCGCTTCAACATAGTCTACACCGATTAGTCGAGATAGAGACACACTACGGAGTCTACGATCATGTATGTACGCCTTAGCATCGTACTCGAACATGGCAAGAGACGGCGAAATTTCCCCGCGTCCATGTATGGATTACCGCTTCCGGCTCGACCAGTGTATGTGGAATGCAGGAGAGAAAAAAAGCAGTCCAAGAGGCGTACTGTCAGCGCGTGCAGATATCCCGGTAGACACCATACCTGCAGCAGAAAATCTCGTTACCGTCTATGACGACGCGATTGCGTCGATTGCGTTGCGCTGCGTTGGAATCGCGAACACCCGGTGAAAGCTGAGAAAAGCGTTTACCAATCGCCACCACCAAAGGATCAGCGCAAACCACGAGGTGTCAACACCAACACATCCCAGCATCCACGCGCACAACGCAGATCACCAAAGAGTGAGGCTCAACGTTGCACGTGTCAACTCGAGTCATGTCTCCACGCCACCGCAGTTCGCGAATCTGGCCCCAGAGCAAGTCTTCCGTCGATCAGCATGAGCGCGAAACCAATGCTCGGAACAGCATACTCGCCTTCGTAGCTCGAAGCAGTGGAGATCGGCGACGTTATCGACGGCGCCCTGCAGCATGTGCAATTATCGGCGTTGAGCGCTTTGCTGCGTGTGGCTGTCGGCTGGTTGGCTGCTGTGCGACGTAGTATTCGCGCGTACCTCACCGATCTCGAGACTGCGGTTCCGGCGCTGGGGGCCTCGATCCTGAAGACGTGTTCCGACAGCCTGTCACTCCAGACTATCGGGATTGCGTGACTAGCATGTGGTGCCCATGTTGTTGTATGCGAGGGTTGATTAACTTGTGATTGGCGGAATGGAGACGGGAGAATGCATGGCTGTGAGAGTGTGGATGTCAGGTAAAGCCGTGGCGGACCGTGGCGTAACGGGTCCGAGCTGCACGGGATCATCCTCTCACTCACAGATTGTCATCTTGATTATGTGAGCCAGACTTCTCACACACTACCATTGCAGTGGATCATGCCAGCCAGTCGTACATCCAACCTCGCTCGGCATCCAGCGAATGTTGGTGGGAGCCGCCTAACCCAGACTGTGGGGTCGCTTGTGACAAATAACTCCAAGTGGCTTCGCACTTAGATGCGATCTGAACCGAGATTCCGGGTAAGCTGCTAAGCTTGAAGAAGGAAATGGGGAAAACTGGAGGACGATATCAACAGTCTTGGTGGGGTATTCCATTCTGACTCGCCACGATATTGGCCTGAGATGCTTCGTTCCGATACCAAATATACGATCCATCAACAAGTGAACCCTTCGCAATCTAGTCAAAGCAGCTTTGTACCAATCAAATGCTCCCCTAGTCCAAGCCTTCGCTACCCGCGTATCTATTCCAGTCGTTCATATTCATGTTCTCTGTCATAGGCGTGAGTGACGACGACGCAGCGATATTTGACGGATATATCACGACTTGTGATCTAATCTGCCCTTGCTCTCCATGGAACCCTCCCAGAACGGTCGATGAAAAGCCTGGTGTGATCTCAGCAATGCTTGACATCTATAACGGTGCTGCGCGCCGAGGAGTGAAAGGGGCGCACGGGTTCGTCTCTACAAGCCGGGAGAAGCCTTCTGATATATTGAAAGGTGTGTGCTCGGCTGAAGTGATGGGCGTGTTTAGTGACCTTCGCTCCATGGCAGGCCGGTCAATGTCATCCGGTGAGGAGAAAGCCGGTCTGAGAATCGGCGGATGAGCGTTGACTGGAGGTACGGCGGGACATGAATTATGCCTTTGTGGCCATGCGGAGGATTGGGGCCTGCGCTCCTGAATCCCACCCGATACATCATTACTCCATTCGTGATGCCAAACCACGTCGTTTTGTGGGTCTCCTGATGTCGCGACCTTCTGGAATTGGGTATATAAGTGAAGCGGACGGCTACTCTCATCTCCTCGGGACGTTTGCCACCCACGATGATCTACCGTATTCTTCAGCTGATGCTCATGCAGCACTGAAAAGTCTGCAGGCGAGGTTGGAGCAGTGTAACCATGTGGCTGCATGTGATCGTCCTCAGACAGAGTCGCGTATCGTGTGGACGCTGATCGCAACGTGGTCGATCTGCGCAAGCCCTGCATGCTGTCTGTGTATCGAGCGTTGGCTACATAATCTTCGGGTGATGTTGCTTCTTTCTTATATGTACCTCCGCGATGTAGACCTGCATTACGATGTTCTTCGGTCTGGATGGCGATATCGGGATTGTTCCAAGCCATCGGGGAAAAGACTTCGTTCGCGGCAGTTTGCTGGCTCATGTCCTCGAGTAGAAACATTCCAGTGTGACCCATCACTGTGTCAGTCACAGCCGAAGCTCGTGTTGTTTTGTTGTGCCGCGCCCCTTGCATAGCGGTATGCCTCTGTCCAAGCGATTGGACGTCGGACGGCAGTGTTACTAGCCTGTGCAACTCCTGCAAGCAAAAACTGAGCTTCTCTACAGCCAACCCTGCAAGCTCGTGAACGCTGTTCTCGTACAGGTCCTTGAAGACAACGAAGGCTTGTTCTGCTTTGAATGCACCTGTGGTAACGGTTCGGCATTCTAATGCATCCAAGAGAAGGATCATGCATCCATTGAAGGCCTGTTGTGCGATCGCCCAATCGATCAGCGCAGCTGGGTCTCTGTAGTGGAAGAACATGAAAGTTGAGATAAGAGCTTCTGATGAAGCAAGTACCAGCATCCTTCCGCGAGGTGCAGTCTGTGTTGAGTATGTCTCGTGTGAAAATTCCGAGGAGGACGCGCGGTTGGCAGCTTGGAATGGCAATACATTATCCTTGCCAGTTGAGGTTGTCGCAGAAGTGGTATGTTTATCGATTTTCTGTTGGTTCAGAAGAAGGATGTAAGTATGAGCATTGGAAAAGTATACTGCAGCATGTGAGCAAATGCATACATCAGATGACGTTTTCTTTGGACCCCAGAAGGGGTAACAGCACAAAAGCCGCCCATGGTTTTGCGATCCGGGATTACGTCCAATACTTCCAACTCAAGGTGCAGGTTTCCGATGGCAAGATCGTACCTGTTGAGCACGAGGACCAAAATACAGGCAAAAGAGTGTTGAAACGTACCAGTAGCTATGGCGCTTAAATCCGGCAGAGGCGTTTCGGGAAGCATCCACGTGTCACGAAACTGAAGCGTTTCAGGTATCGTATCTAGTAATCTTCGGAGTATATCGGTGAACTCATTGATCCTGGCGTTCGTCAAGGGGTTACTACTCATTATCTGTCTGGCCAGTATCGTGAACTGGTTAACGAACTCGCCGAATCGTAATAAAACCGGGTCGGTCGTCAACTCAGTCGGCCAGGGATTGTCACCAATGCCGCTTATTCCTAGAGGTCTTCCAAGGGTCATAGACATGTGTTCATCCAGGTGCAGCATGTGCCACCAGACCTTCTGTCGTATTACACAGTCTTTCCCATTTGTAGGAGCAGGATTCAGGTACTTCGGGTGTCGATGAAGACCAACCGAGTGAGCAAGCCGGATCGTAGTGCCGAACAACGCAAACGAATCCAACATTCTTCCGTTGTTGGTAAGATAACTCCCAATCATGAGGAGCGTCTGGATTGCGGAGAGAGATGGCTTGTGTGTAAAAGAAGCCAGTCGTAAAGCTTGCATCGCTGCTGCAACTAGGTCAAGAGCGTTAGCTCGAACTCCACTAGCCTCGCATACACCTACTGTAGACGTTGCCCTTCTGAGTCTCGACTTCGATGGCGTTAGCGTCCCATCGCCCTCCACTTTTGTCCCAGACTGAGTGTTGTGCGCCAAGCGCGATGAATCCAAACAACAATGCTAAAGTAGCTGGATAGAGTTGGGAGTTCTTTCGTGGGTCGGAAAGGAAAGCCTCGATCTCCTTTTTCGTCGTCTCCACGGGCACTGGGCAGACAAGCCGCTGGAAAACCCCAAAGTACTCCATAAGCTCATCCTTTCCAGGGAGGCAGCTAATTAGCTGTGGGATACATTCATCGGGTGCAGCAACGAAGAGAGTCGGGAAGGGATACGTCGGCAGACTGCGAAACATGTCTGAGGCTCGAGGTATTGTATACGACAATGGCAAAACGCGAGCATCCGCCGAAGAGAACTTGTGATATTAGATTGGTGTTTAGGATGTGTGTGAATATACATA